TAATCGAAATCCTCTCACATCGGTCATCCAATCAAAACGAGACTTGATGTCGGTTACCCAATCCCCATCCAGAAATGTGTCGGTTCGATGTCGGATGCTACCTACATGTATACATGCTGCGCTCGCACATGTGTGCATGTGCGGAAAGTCCAAGCGCAGGTGGTCAAATTCTCGGGAGTGACGCATGGAGGTGAGCTGAAACTGCCAGATCATGTACTCCACATGTGTAGGAAGGTAGTGCATGCAATCATTCTTACCAACGTGAAGTACAGAGGACGAAAACGACGACGGTGGAGGACAAATTTGTAGTTTTTACAAATTGGTATGCCTCCCATCCCTCGTCGTCATTCCTAGCCTATGTATTCACCCACCAAAGTTCCGCACTTTGCTCATGCGCGTATGTGTCATGTGTCGAATTTTTCTTGCATACAGTATGTGCACATGCGGGGATGAAACGTTTTCTTTCTGATATAGAACGGGTAGCGAACGGATTGTAAATTTCTATAAATATATAGGTAAATGTATGATCAGGAATTAAATTTCACATCCTATCCGACAGGTGGTGAGGCAAATACCCTTTTTAACCCTTCAAGTAGCGCAGAATCATCAGTTTGTCAAACGAGAGATTTGGGAAAGGGACGAAAGGAGTCAGCAATTCTGTGAACATCACGGCAATGACCGTTTACAGGGATCTACGGAACTTAAGGCCTACTTTTCTTCGGGTGGAATGCAAATACTTGATGGTGGTTGGCTGCCTTACTTCAAAGTACGCAAGCCTTTCCTGCCAATCGGAGACGTGATGCCCATTTTTATTGGCTCGAGTTGAGTCCGGATTTATATTTTGGAGGTCATTTTATTAGACAATCAAGGAGCCACTAATCTACAAGCAAGTCGAATGCCACAGGCCAAGTTTTCTGAAGGATATTAGTTCTTGCGTTACAATGAAAAAAGTCGACTTGATTGATACAATGCTTCGAGTGTAAGCGTAAGCGTTTGACGCGGTGGCGCAATGGTTAAGCGTGACGGCATCAAAGGATAGAGGAAGGGGCCCGGGTTCAATTCCCGGGCAGTGTCAAACTTTTTCTCAAGAAATAAAAAAATTCAAGCACAAATAAAAAAAATCATACAAAACATATATAATAATGAAAAACATTGTCCTGCATTTTTTTAATCCCTTATTCTCCAGTCGTTGGCCCAAAAGCCAGCGCTTTCTCGAAGCTGCTGCGGACGATTTCGGGCGTCACCAAATCCCACGCCGCAATCGCACGCTTGATCATGGCTAGGCGCTTCTGCTTTGCAGTCAGTGAGTCGGGATCCTCGTCGTCACTGTCCATCATCTCCTCATACAGCCACAACTCACGTAGGTGACGT